AAAAATCTGAGGCAGACATAACACAAAATAAAAATCAAACCCATCTGCTTTCTTAATCATAGGCTTTAAAAATGTCTCTGCTAGTTATCCAGCTATTTCAAGAACTGTACTGTTTAAATCTATATCCAAACACAGAAGTCACACTAAATCTGTCATTCAGTTCCATGACTTTAAATGATTAAAAATGATAAAATTCAAGACAGACATTGAATGGACATGTCATCTCTCTACAGCCTCTAGCACTGAAGATTTAAGCTCTAATCCAGTCTGAACGGCACCCCCAAGAACAAGAATGACAAAATGTCCTTTTAGTGCCAGTGTCCAGGTTTGGAGCATCCGTAGCTGAAGCCTGGGCCGCAAACTAAAAGCGTGTCTAAGGATCAACCATCTTGTAAAGCAGAAACTCTACCCTGGCTACACTTGCGGCGTGGAGACACCTTTTTGGGAAGATGCTGTGGAGATGATGACACAGAAAAATGACTAGGTTTATACTTACCTTGCACCAGCCACAGCGGGATTAGTGTGGCAAAGAAGCCTCCACGCTGCACAGCACCGGAGCCTTGGGGTATGACTTGAGGAACATGGCAAAATTCAGATATAAAGGAAAGCCTGTATTTTATTAGGCCTCACATCTATTCTGAGAGTGGCCAGCAATCTTTAACCAAGCAGGCAGGAGATCACCCACAGGCCTTGGACTGTACTCAGCCACGAATGATTACTAGAAGAATATAACGAGCCTAAACCAGAAGTTACAAGAAATTTGGAAAAATCAAAAGAGTAAGCGAAGGCACAAGTAATGTGGAACTATACGGAATTAGGACAAAACGTATCAGCCTTCTACTGATTAGGAAACAAATGTTAAAACTGAAAAAACCCCAACAAACCATCAGCCACCAATTCAGTAATGACTCCCTACCCTAGAAACACCCATCGAGTGTATTATCGGTGAGGGCAGATTAACCCAAGCCCCCCACTAACACAGAAGGAGAAGTCCTTCCCCGCATCCCTTTCCGTGTAGCCGTGCCCTCAGCCAGCCCCCCTCCATCCCAGGGGACAGCAAGGGACCCCCGCCCCGCTGGCAGCGCGGGATGCACTAGCCCAGCCACACCGCCTGCAGCCCTGCGGGTAATCACAGCCCAGCGCCTCTGTTCTACCAGCAAGGGAACCAAAGCCGGGGAGGGCGAGCGGGTTGTGAAAGGCAATGGTATCGCTGGCTCCGAAGCCGGACAAGTCATAAGTTCCCTGTCCTGCACCCAACTGCAAAAAGCACACTTTCGTATTTCATGCCGCGCATAACATCCAGGCTGGGTGACATAAAGGTTAAAAGTAATTTTGGCTGCTGTAGACCAGCACATAGATTACAAGAGGAATTTTATTATCTGAGCTCGCTACAGAAGGGCTGCTTTGCAGTCAGGATGTGACAGACAGGTTCCAGAGGAAAGCCAGTGACACGATGCGACGGCTGCTGCCAGCTATTCACACAGCTATTTGCAGAGTGCGGCCGTACCTGGCTAATCACCACGTCCACATGGGCTACCGGGGCAGAGCTGCCTCCGCACGTGGTCTGGTGCATGCAAATCACCTTATGGGCGACGCCGATTCTCCGTCGAAAGAAGTCATTGAACTTTTCAACAGTCAATATTTTAAGGAGTTCTCAAATAGCACTCGGAGTAAGCAGATAACCATTTTAAATATAGAGACACTGGAATGGAAGCCCAAGAGTGCTGGGTGCCAGCGGTGATCTGGATTATTTGCTTGTTACTAAATACCCCGCAGCGTTGCTTCCCAGGTTGCTCAGCTCAAGTCTGACGCAAACAGCGGCAGAACAACAAACAAGAATTTGCAGGATTTTGAAAGCACTGAAATAATTCAAGGAATAAGGAACAAATTGGTTCAGGGCTGCTGTTGCTCAGGATCGCGTCTTCGGAAGAACGAGGACATTTACTGTTTAATTACGTGTAAAACCTAACTGAAGGCTTGACAAGCACTTCCAAATCTCAGCAACAGAAAAGCAAAATGAGTATAAATAAAGGGAAGACAACTTGTGAGAGCAGATTTAGTTTAAGGATGCTTTTCCCCTCTATTGATACCCAGAAATAATCTGCACCACTGCGTGTCACTGAATTCCTCAGGACCCTTAACTACAATTCTCTGTGTTTTGTGGTATACACGCCTGTAGAACAGGGGATGAAAAGTCCACACGTGGAAAAACTTGCTACCTCTGACTATCGCAGAGTTTAGAAGGGGACAGAAAAAAAATAGCAAAAATAGCTGCAGAGCAACATTAGTTGCATACGGAGGAAAAACTCTCCAGGAGGAAGCCTCCCCCTGTAAGAAAAGGCATCAAAAACTTGTCTGTAAACGAATGCCTCCAGGCAATACGCCAGGCCAAAGTGAGAATTGAGCAAGGGTTTAAACGTAGGTACCAGGCACGCTTCTAAGAACTTCTACAGCACAGAAAAAGCAATAGGAAGGTGACAGGAAAACGAAGCAAATCGGGGCACACAAATTTAGCTGTAGGCAGGGGACTCACTGCTGCCGACACAGGCTACCTTGCCGCCCGGGGCGGAGAAGATGCAGCAGCAGGGCCTGCCCAGCCGCCCCAGGTCCCCGCTGGCCACGTCCAGCCTACAGCCCCAGCAGAGCAGTTGTGCTCAAGGCAAAGACTGGCTGAGACACGCTGATCGTGCCGTGATCGTACTACGAACAGCAGCACGGGCAAAGTCTTGCATAAATAGCTGAGATTATATATAGCAACTCTTACTTAATTAAAATTAAATACAATTGTGAGAAAGTTAACTGACCATGACTGAGAACTCCCGATCGGGACAAACTGTTAAGCATTGTGCCAGTTTGCAGTTACCAGATCTCCTGTGATGACAGTACATGTAACATGCTCTGTCCTGTAAGGGTAAGAGCACGTCCTGCTTCATTGCTGACATAATTATGCTTTTATCAGGACAAGAGAAATGAGGCAACGATTAACTACCCAAGTAAAAGCCACACAGCTTTGGACAGCCAGACTCTTCCATGCTCTCCCTAGCTAGCGGTGAGTTTTTGGTGTGCAGCTGCATAGAATAAGAGCCACTATGCTCTGTTCGGTAAGGGTAAACATCAACTCTTCTAGCTGAAGTTCTTGTTAGACATACTTTAAAATGCTGCCTTTTACCAAAGACCACATAGAGAAGAAAAGGTAATTTTAAAAAACGCTTAACATTCTCATTTCTTATTTTTTTGTTAAATAAGGGTGTTCCATTTTACTTGGCAAGCACCTTGGCAGGCAACAGTGGTCCCTTTATCTGGCTTACAATTTAAGGCTCTTCATAATTTGTTTTTAAAGACAATTCAGTTGCTAGGTCACAGCCAAAGGGCTACAACATGTAACTGCCCTATTTTTTTCTTGCAGGGATGGACACGGCTGATGAGCGCGGGACAGAAACCACCTTCCACCCGCTGGGAAGACCCGGCGAAACCCTGCACTTTCTGCAGGCTGCTCTCCCAACGCAGGACTCCTGTGGTTTGCCAGGGGAGAACCCAGCTCCACGCTCGGAGTATCTTCCCTTTCCGGCAGTGGATTTCACTTTGCATGGTCCTTAGGAAGCGCTTTTACTTCCTTTAATCATCTCCACATAGGCAATTACTTCTACTTAATAACCCAGACTGCCTAGCTGTACCCTCCAGCGATCCGTGGATGGAGCCCGTTATGAGAGCAGGGCTTTCACCAAAGCAGCCAGCAGTGCCTGTACAGCGTTGCTCCCCCAGCACAAATAGAAGTCAAAGGCAGTGAAGCACCCTGCTGGATTTAGGCTCAACACTTGACTCTCCCCTTCCTTTTTGAGTGTAAAATGTTCCCTTTCTACCATTACAGGCTTCTTCAGTACTGTTGAGTTTGATTGGTGTTCTCAAAGAAGGAAAAAAAAACCAAACCCAAAAAACCACCACACACAACAAAACAAGAGACATCATTTGCACAAGCTGTTTGGAAGCTGAATTTTGTTTCCAGTTTCCAAGCGCTTCCCACCCACTGCTTTCATCCAATCTCAGAGAAAAAAAAAAAAACAAACCCCAACCGCCCTACCACACCACTTCAAAACAGCTCCTTGCCTAGGAGAGGGCAACCAGCCCTTTCCTCCTCCCTACCGCCCCGTACACAGGAATTGATACGGCTACGTAAACGTTCACATACCATGCCCAAGGACACGCGCTGTGTCCCACCGCCCCAGGTGACCATTTTCTGCTATGTTGAAGGGGCAGCTCCTTATTTCAAGCAAGTTGCAGCTGCACCATCTGCCAGAGCCGGGGAGGAGGGATGGAAAAATTTGGAGGAACTAAGACACTGTCATAGAAAAAGGTGTAGGAGTTTGCCAAAAGATGCAGCTTTATTGTACGGCTAATTAGCTCCCTCAGGAATGGTTCTGACAGGAGGAACTGGAAGAGAAATACAGACTGTTCTCAGGGCTTGCTGCAACAGAGACCCGATCCGCACATTTTGAAACATCCCGTAGGAGTTACCTGGTCCTGCTCCCAACACCTCCTTGTGAAAGCGCTCCAGCCAGGCTCCTGGCTGAGGGACCTGCACGATTACCTTCACCCCAGCACGACATGAAGGTGCTCACGTGCGCTCGCAGCAGCTTTTCCACTTTAACACTATTCCCTCTAAAAAGCTGATGAAAGAGTCATGCTCACTTATACTCTGGAAGTCAATTGTATTTTCATCAAACGTGGTTATTGACACTACCGTACACTTACACTTTCATAGCCATACCATTACAGAAGATCTTCTTACACACGGGGCCGTAGGCACTGGGACGGAGGTATTCCTCTGGCGTCTCCTTCCAGGGCGCTGCATCCCCAGCGGCGGCACTGCCAGGGCAGGCTGCCAGACAACGTCTCCTGCTCCCTTGAGCACCTTGTCCGCGCCCGCCCGCCCCCACGCAGCCAGCCGCACTACAGTAGCGCCTCTGCCTCCCATCGTGCAAACCATCAACACACAACAGCCGTTTTTGCTGGCCATGTTTTTATTTGTTTTTCCTTTTCAACAGGGGAGCCAATGATACATCCAGTATTAAAAAAAATCAGAAGGTAAAACAAATTTTCAGAAGACCGAGATGCTACATGCTATATTTAACCTAATTTTATTCATGCTTGCTTTTGAGGGGGGGTGGGAGCGGGACAGGAATCATTCAGTAAAAACATACAGTAAAAACAAAATGTCTCACCATATAGAACTTTAACCTACAGTAATGTTGTACCTTAATTATTTCCATGCACACAACTAACATTACAAAATTTTTAAAAAATGAACACAATTAAGACTTCTAGGAGCATTTGATAATAAAGCAATTCCTAATTTCTTTTGTAGAGATCAAGCACCTCCAATTACAAATTCCTATACACAGTGAGTGCTTTACTTGAAATGAAAACTAAAAAATAAAAAAAAAAAATGTATTGGATAGCCTCAGAATAAGCCGATGTTAATATATATCCAGCTATGTAGGCAATAAAACCATAGTGCTAAACAAAAACTTTTATCTGAAAAGTAACTCAAAAATTAAGTTGACTTTCTATAATTACAGAAATATACTTATTTGCTAAAATAAATAAAAGTGCTGCATATTAACACTTCACTATAAAGAATGCATACCAGAACATTTATAAATATTGAATGATTTTCAATAAGAATAGCTACTACAATAATGCTGGCTAAATAGAAGTGCATAATGAGAAGCACTATGGGTGGTTAATGTTTTGCCACATACTGCTGTTACCTTGAGGTAGATAACACATGCGTACCAAATTCTGCATTCATTTCAGTTGCTGCTGGTATCATGTGTCTAAGAAATGTGTACAGTATGAAAAACTCTAAAATACGCATGAATGAAAAAATGTTTGGGAAAAATAGATATTTTCATGCAATTATGTACAGTCTCACTGTGTAAATTTCAAGGCAAGGTTCTTTTTCTGCAAAACATGGACACTGTTTTACTGAGAGAATGTTTTTTTTCTCGGTTTAGTGCATTTTTTTTGTTACCTCCTGCATTTTGCATTATTTTGCTCTATTCTTTAATTTTGTGTGCAAACGACATGCCAGTTTAAAAACAAAAGTAACTCATGTATAGAAAGTAATTCTGGATTGTAAAAACAATGGTAAACAGAAAACTAATGAAATCCATACCAAAATTACACCGTCTGATTCAAGTAAAAAAATTACTTACACTAGTAATAAAAAAAGACAAACACATCTCATGAATATAAAAGAAATGTCTGCTGAGTGTTTTAATTTAGATGTTTCAGAATGCTGCTGTACGTTTTGTGGGGAATTTGGGGAGATGATTTCATAGCAGAAGGCGTTAACGTGGCCTGTATTGATTTCAGTGGCGAACCAACAGGGCTGTGAAACTGAGGAATACCTATAGCCTCAAGCTGCTTGTTGAAGAGGAGTTCTCCACTGTTACTGAGAAAGCTCTCTTCTCTTTCCTTCTCCCCAAGCTTCCCCTCTTCTACTGGCTCAGGTTCTAGCATTTCAGCATCTTCTTTCTTACTAAAAAATTTGTCCAAATAACTGGTGTAAGTGTTTTCTTTTTCGACTTGTTCATCTTTCCTTACTTCGCAACAAAACTGGTCTATGAGGAAGCACTCCTCCCCACTACTTACAAACTGACTGTCCCAAGAAGTTTGGTACAGAGCTTCTAACTGTGCCAAATTAGCCATTCCTTTCTCCTGCTTCTCTCTGCTTACTGACTTTGATATTAATCCTTTCAACTCTATTTGAGACACTGAGCTATTCAAGTCATTTAATTTGTCAACATCAGTAGACTCGTGTTGTAAACTAAGCTGAATGGTTTCTGCTATAAACGAATCAAAGTCAAATCCTTGATTCTTCTCCCTTTCTTTTTCAACAAGTTGCTGTGATGCTTCCTCAAGTGCTATCTGAGCTTTCACCAACCCATTCTTTTCACATTTAGACTTGCCTTTCTTATCAGACTTTTCTTTGCTCTGTTCCTTCCAGTTTGAAAGATCTATAATAAGCTTGGGCTCATAGTAATGGTTAACTTCACTGTCTCGCCAAACTAAATTATCTAGGTATGAAGATGACCTCATTTTGTAATTACAAGTGTGACTACATTCCAGATCACAATACTTGTTTTCATGGTGATCTGAATACTGCCAGCAAGGCTCAGTAGAGAAGTGGGTGTCAAAGGCAGGATCCTCCAGATACTTTTCACGATCTCCATCCAAATATTTGCGAGGATCTATTTGCACTTCTTCCTCATCAGTAACATCAGAAAGAGCCCTTGGATCACGCTGAACCTCATCAGCTTCATAGTTATTATGAATAGGCCAGTCATGGTCTGAAAACTGACTTTCATGGTATCTGTAAAACAATTTCCGAAGTGTTAGCAGTGAAAAAAGTCTTCTAGCTCCCGTGACAGAGACAGTTAAGTTTAGAAATTCCCTTACAGAATAGTGACAATTCAACACAGATAAAGTTTTTCCTCAATCCAATCAGGTACCTCTTCCAGGTTTTTAATTTAATCTGGCATAAAGTAATCCTCATGCACATCTGAAAGATCTAAGACCAGAATTATGTACAATAGCTCACTCCATTTACAGAACACTTCCTTAAAGTGTGTTTAACTGACTTTAAATGGCTACCGTAAATCTCTTTACTATTATACGAGCTAAGCATTGGAGAAGACAATCATACTTAAAACTCTCTCCATTTAAAGTTTATTTTTTAGAGAAATATTTTTTGTGGGGGAAAAAAGTAATGGAGGGGTTAACTTTCTGGAGTCCTGAGTGCGTCTCAGGGATGCATCGGCATATCCAAGTCAGTCTAATGAACTATAAACCCAATGACAATGCACTGCCTATAAGCGAGAAATTTATTCTCAGGTCAACTTAAGAAGAAGAAACAAACTGAAAAGGAAGTGATGCCCATGAAGCAACATTACTTCAAACACACAACCATTCAGTTACGTTACATGCCACAGATAAGTGATACATTTACCTTTCCCAATTATAAATATGGCTGTGACTTTCATCCATCAGCAGAATATCATCAACTTCATCTTCAATGTGAAAAGGATGACTTGAAATAGGCTCATCCGTTGGAAAGGAATAAATGCTCATGTAAGGATGGGACAAAGCTTCTTCTGCTGTCAATCGATCCATGGGACTAAACGTCAAAATTTGCTCCAGAAAGTCCAGCGCTGCAGAGAAAGTTATCATTAAATAGGAGAAAAGTGACATTTCAGACATCTAGAATTTAAGATTAAGGCGCAGTGCTTTGCTCTAGAGGTGTGCGTTTGCTTAAATGCAGCCACCTGTGAAGTATCAGCTACTGACACTATACTGCCAAATATGCCTCCTGTAGCCACAGGAAAGCTAGAAGAGTAGAGGTCAAATCTAAGATCAACAATAATTTAACTTAAAGCAGGAAGAAATGCTAAGAGGCAGAATGCCTCACACTGGATCAGCATCCTCCAACAGCTACCAGGAAATACTGCTGTCAGTTTGGTTTGGGGACTTTCTTTTAACAAGATTTGAAAGACAGTTGTTTTACACTGACTCCATTCCAATGTTCCCTTATATTTAGAAGGCCAGTGTCTCAAAAGAGAGCAATTCAATCAGTCTTCCAGTGCAAACAGGTCCAGCAGAGATTCACCGTTCTACTCCAAAAGATGACCAAGTAGCTATCATGTAAGAAAAATCTTTTTTTATTACAGTGGAAGACAATCCTTCTTCAGAAAATGCACAGATTCTTCTAACTGAAACTTGCTGTTAACATGCACATGTTAACATGTGCAACTGTTAACAACTTCACATGCACATGTTAACATGTGCAACTGTTAACAACTTCACATGCACACACATGCACTGTGAAGTTGTTCACTATTTTATGATTTTGAAATACATGTAGTGCTTTTTTCTGAATTACTTACCTTCAGGACTGATGCCTGGAAGCAACTGAGTTAAAGGTTTGTGTGGCTCAGTCATATCGTTTCTAATGTAAACTGGAATTACATTGAGAAGCTCCTGACGGTCCTCCTCATGTACAACAGGAATTGATTCTAGAATCAACTGCATCTGTTCAAGTTCATGCGCACCTAAGCACCAAGAGAAAATACAAGCTGCCATTTCAACTTCAAACACTTCTGATCCCTGTATGTGAAAGGCACGTCAAAATTTTGTGCTCTGAGCAGCTATTTTCAGTAGAAGACTATTATCTCCTACAACAGAGGAAGGGCTGAAGTTCTAAATTTGAATGTTAATAAATCTGAAGAGCTCTCAAAAATGCTGTAGTGTATGAAGAATTACGGAGCTGCTACACACAGATAAAGCGACCTAAACTTAACCTTTTGCAAGGATGTTTTCACCATAGGTGAGGTACTCTACAGCAACACTATCTTTTTGTTACATACTATATACTGCAATCCTCCCCTTTCAACTGATCCATCTAATGAATTCAATATTTGACCTCACTTTGAATTTTATGTCCCTCATTAATAAAAACAGTAGTGGTTTAGCTCAGCAAGAGATCTTACAGGCCACAGCCATTTGTATTAATATTCTATTCTGAAACCCTGTATTACTGTCAGGTGCAAGACCAAAAGTCACCTGCCAGTTAAGTAGTGTAATCTTGTTTAAAAAAAAAAAAAGTACTGTATTATGATTGAAATTATAGAACACTTTTAGCACTATCTGAAGTTTCCCTGGGTAAAGAACTATAAGGGCCTATACAGCAGGCGAATTTTGAATAATGAACAGCATCTATATTCAGTACCAGTGTTTAAGTTGGAGTACCCAGAAATACACCTTGTCTACCTCAATTTATTGTTCAGCTCCAAGAAGCATGTAGCACCCTAGAGATTCAACTAGCAGATGCAAATATATAGGGTTGTTTGCATGCCAGTGTTTCACCAAGCAGCTCTGGGCAATCACCAGCGATATTGATGCATGTGACATACAAAAATAGGCAGGGCCAGAAAGAGATTGTACCATCTCAAAATCTATGCGCTACCAGTTTGCTTCAGCAGTTTGCGTGACGGTCTGCACTGGACATCCTACCACACATCTGCCAGATGACTTAAAGAAAAGCTGAGGCAAAGTCACTATGGAAAATTTGACCAAGACCTACGTTCCCCAACTGAATCAGTCCTGCCTCGTGTTAACTTATTTGCTGGATTGAAAAAGCTGGTTTGTTCTCCTACTTCAGACTATTACAAATTACTTCATATAATCTATCAGATGTTATACTGTCAGTAATTTGCTGGAAAACAGATTTTACTGTAACATTACTTCACGTCCTATCCATCCTAAAATTAATCAGCTTTCTTTCCACTATAAATGAAATGAGCATTTTAAAATATTTATTTAGAAGAAAGAATTACAGAAGTTGTCTGGAACAGCTATTGAATTCCTCTGCCTTAACTCCCCTTGCCTCCCTCATCCCAGGTATTCTGCAATTTTAATCTGCATTCTTCCTTCCCATTCCAGTCAGCTTTCCAGACAGCAGGATTCCTAAGGGATGGTTCAGAAGTAGACAGGAAGTTGCAAATTTACCAAATCAAGCCCTCCAAACAACTTTGCAAAACAATTTTATTCAGAGTCTCAGGACAGGCTAACTGTCATATCTCCAACCATGTTCCCTTTCCAAATGCATGACATTAAGAACTCCACTCTTTAGATCAGAAGACTATGGCAATGCTAAACTATCAGAGGGTCACATCCACATCTAAAAATATTTTTCTAGGTATCTACACAATGCAATCAGGGCACATAAACGAGCCTATAAACTTAGGATTTTCGTTACTAAAATTGAGTTTTTAAAAAAAAAATCTAACTCACTACACAGATATTAGACCTATAAAAACCTCTGGCAAATACCAATGCTACTCGAAAAACAAAAAGCCAAAATGTTAGCAGTTACAATCAATCTATGCCGAATGCTGAAACCCACAGGCTTTCTCCCACTATTTCACTATTTTCCAGTAGAAGTGCTTGATGCAAGAGAAACCTAATAAAACTCTTACCAGCCAAGCGTTTAATGCGCTGGGGACATTACTCCAATAGTTAGTAACTCAAAGAGTTTGCATATTAACTTGCAGTGAGTTGCTAAGAGGCTTTTCTTAATCACTGATTTCTATAAAATAATGATTCCAAGGTGACAGTACTCCATTAATAGTACTTAATGGGAAAAAGCTCTCAATTTCATTACTTTGACATACAAAGCTAAGAATTACTGCAGAGGTGTGCTTTTAGTCCACATGTGTCTAAAGGAATGTGAACTTTGAAATGCAAGCTCAGTTCTTAGAGATTTTATCTGTATTACCCCAGTAATTTAGATCAACAGGAGCAAATCCAAGAGCAAGCCTGAATGAGACAGCTGCTGCTGAGGCCCCAGGGTGCACACAAAACAAGCATTTCAGGGGTTTACTCTAGACTAGCTCATCTGCCCCCATGGACTGAATGCCTATCGGCAGGTGGAGCACATTGGGTCATCTCCTGCAGTGCAAATGGCAGTTTCATTTTATTTTAAAAAAAAAACAAACCAACAAAAACCCAAAACTCTAGTTTGTGCACTGAGCTAAATCAGCAATGTGGTACAGGATGGCCATCAAGAGATTTGCTTCAAAAATTTGCTCCTTATCCTAACCAAAGCACTAATGTAGATGCACCCAACGAGACCAGAGCATTGCTTCCTATCTTACCAGAAACGTTTGGAGCTTACACATTTCCTCGGTATGCCACACTAAATTTTAAATCTTAAGAGTCCTCGCTATACCACTGAAACAAAGCTCAGGTCAAAACAGTCTGTAGATGACAAAAAAATTGGGAATGGGGAAAAAAGGGCTACTCTTTCATAATTTAAAATATAAAGAAGTGAGAAGTGATTAGGTTGACTACCTTAAAAAAAAATAAAGATTTATGAATATGATACTCAGGGCACTCACAATCCTTAAATACTCCCTGAATACACCAATTCACTAAAATACATGTATTTAGAATACTTCTGCGGCATCCAATAAATTTAGCTTAATCTAATTACAGACAGATTTACCATATATGTGAGTACTAAATTAAATTGTGATATTTATCTAAATACACACCGGTATGAGTAACAGTAATTGAAGTGTCTTCTGCTTTACAAATTCATTAATTTATAGTTTGCTTATATAATTGCATAATAATATAGCATATCCTGATAGTCAATGACTATTGATATTAGCCATGAGAATCAACCTTTCTTTAGGAAGATAATTAAGCAGTACCGCTCCTTTTAGGAATACACACACACACATTTTTATTCTACCCACCTGCAAAGAGGGTTTTCCCAGTCAGCATTTCAGCAAAGATGCAACCTGCAGCCCACATGTCAATGGCTTTAGTGTAGTTGTTAGGAGATAGCAAAAGACGGGGCGATCTGTACCATTTAGTAACCAATCCTTCCGAAAGATGGCCCTAATGAAATTAATTTAAAAAAAAGAAAAAAGCTTACTTAGATTTTTTTTATTTAAGGGGTACGTTTTTTTAATTACTTGCTTCTTATTTTTTAAATGCACTACTACAAGATTTTTTGGTCTCAAGGTTCTGGGGATAGTACCATGTGCCCCCTACTAAGTCTTTCTACCTTTTAAAATGGAACAGCAGTATTTTTATGAGTGAACAGCAACAATACAGAAGTATGACACTATTTATTAGTCAAATGAGGTACTGCAGCAAAACTTTCTTATTCCCAGATGCCAAATAAATACAGAGATAATAATGAACTCTCTTGTGAAACATCATCTAAACCAGGAAGACAGTATCTCTAAATCAATCCCAGGAAGCAGCCACACTTGCACACTGTGAGTGCACTGCTTATAAACTCATCTAAGGCTTCTATAGTTATGCCTCTACATGTTGCTCTTAATCTCAGGTTCTGTATTCACTGTTAAAAATCTGCTTTTCTGAACACATCTAGTAAAAAAAAGAAAAGTGTCATTTTATGCTTGCAGCAGTCCTATCCGAGACAAAACATGTCATCCAGAGATCTGTTTTACTCTATTCGCAAGCATTCCAGTTCTGCATGATCCCTAATACGATAGCCCACCTGCTAACGGGGCCTTCCACAGACTATCTGCCTCTGAGAAAGGGAGAAAGCTGCTACTTTAAGAAGGCATGGCTGTCAGTGTATCACTTAAATATTTCCACTCTTCACACACCTTGTGGGAATAATGAGGATCCATGATTCGCGCAAGACCGAAGTCACCAATCTTCAGCACCAAGTCTTCAGTATTAATGAAAAGATTAGCTGGTTTGAGATCTCTATGCAGAACGTTTGCAGAGTGAATATACTTGAGCCCACGTAGCAGCTGGTACATGAAAAGTCTGGCATGATCTTCCAGTAAAGGACCTTGCTCTAGCAGATTAGCCAGATCTGTCTCCATGTATTCCTGGACAATGTAAACACAGTTCAATTCTGTAAGGGAGCCCACGTCATCTGTTAACTGGCTTCCACTAGGACCAAGAATTTCAAATACTTTGACAATGTTATCGTGGTCAAGTCTTCTAATAATTTTGATCTCACGTAGAGCATGTTTAACACTCTGGGGATCTGTAAGGACAATTTTCTTGACAGCCACTCTTTTGTCACAGTCATTATCGACAGCAGAAAAAACTAAGCCATTTCCACCACAGCCCAGTGGTTTTAAGTCCATATACCGAGAGCCCAGATCAAAACCATGAATGTTCATGAGACTTTCAAATTTTTCTGCCATTTTAAAATTCTTTACGTTTCCTTTTCCTCAAACTACTAAGCTTCTGTAAACACGCGGAGACACTTCCACTGGTATCTGAAGGAAAGGTCTTACAGAAAGGGAGAAGAAACACTTGGCTTTGACTGCAAGATGGTTTCTTGACACTCTCATTTCATTATGAGCCAGCCAGGCCTGTTGTGTCCCCTTGAATTTAGAGCCCGTAAGCTCTAGAACTCAAACCGAGCATAAGATAGAAAGATTGCAGCATTCATAGTTCAAGAAAGGTGCAGCATTTCTGCAGATATTAAAGAAAATACTCACAAGAAACTCAAACGGAATGAAATGACATACTATGCACTCAGCTCTACTGTGCTAAACTGGTTAACATTTAACAAAAATGTGAATAAATATGCACATAATAGGCTTCTATTAACATCCTCCTCCTCACAGTGCAGATACATTCAGTGTTGGACTGGTCCTGAGCAGCGTCATTCTATGGTGCTGGTAAGCACTATTTTTTTTTTTCCTTCTTCCTCCTTTTTCTCTCCTTTGTTTACAGTCTAGTTAAACGGGAAACTGGCAGCTCTTGATTTACAAAAGATGCCTTCTGTTAATGATCAGGTGGCTCCAGCTCACCACAATCACAATCAAAGCTACCATCCATTTTACTCCGTGACAACCTGAAAAGGAGAGAAAAATACATCAGTATTCCAATACATACAGAAGCCTTCCTCCTCCCCCAGCTCCTTAAGTTCTCCTAAATATACAACTTATTTAGTGTCCAATTACAAAATAAGAAACCATCACAAAAGCTAAACTAACTAGAAATTACATACACTTTTCATACTTGTGGAGGAAAACTGACAATAATCACCAACCACCATTTCTAAACAGGTATTGTGAAAATTTTAGATATAACCTAGAGAGAATATAAGGCACACAACGAAAAAAATCCTACTGAGTCATAATAAAGAAGGGAACATCACAGAAAGCTTGGTAATTCTCCAATACAGCTGTTATGAGACAAGTCAGAAACAAAAATATCCTGCACCTCAGTCACTAAATTTCGGAATAATTCTTTCCACTAAACTTTTACTCCAAAACAAAAATCAGGGTTTTAACTATTTCCCCGTAATAAGAGATAACTGGGTACCGTTCACATGAAAAGGGTAAGGTTTGTGCGCTCCCAGTATTTATTGACTTTCCAGAATATACAGCACACATCCAATGCCACTTATAAAGCTTAAATCTGTATCATTTTGGATAAAGTTTACTAACATCTCAAATCATAATTTTGCCTCTATCGATTCATTGTTACAGGAATCATAGGGGTAATGCCTACATATTAGACAAATAATGTTACTTTATCAATTATTTCTACACTTATCCAACCTAGATTACAGAGAAAAACTAACAGCGAGCACATTTTACACAGTAACTGATACATTCTATAACCGCTTCCCCTAACATATGGGCACTTTCAGACACCATTTATTTTTTAGTAGTCTAATGAATGCACCTACTATTTATGAAAACAAAAGTGGTCATTTGCTCAGTAAGTTTCCCTGTCTGCAGCAGCAGAATGCAGTCATAAAGACCACATGTTGCATTTTCGCACAACATCCTCATTTCTTTTAAAAGCTCAAAGATGCCACAAAGAGAAGAGTCAAAGGTGTCCCTCACACAGCGTGGTAAGGTTGGGCAATTCCATTACAAGTCACTTGTATGTTCTTCCCCAACAACTATAGGTCACATCAAACCACTAAATGTCTTATCTTGGATCTTAGATTAACACGTTTCAGCTCTTCACCCAGCTCTCTAAATAAATGTAAAGTTCTCCACACTATCCCAGCACTTTAGAGTTAACTGTACGAGTGTTTTCCCTTAAAACTGTGCTAGCATTTCAGTGAGACAACCGGGACCAAGCAAAACAAGTCTCCCCACTCCTAACAGAGCAGCAAAAGCAGCTGACAAATTATTAACATATTCTAAATAATGGCCTCAATTCACTAAAGTTATCAGAATTGCATGCAGGAAAAAAAAAAAAAATAAAGGCAGGCACACTGGCAAACAGGAACAAGACTGTTTCAACACGTTTAAATATTACCATTCCTTAGGCTCAAGCCTGACTGCCACCAAGACACGCGGCCCCAGTGCCCTGGCTCGCTCCCTCCTGCCACACACCACCTGCCTCCAGGTTATCCGTACAGCCACGTGACAAACACAGGGAAGGAGAAGGGAACACATGCTATCCTCTGCTGGGTTTTTCTTTTTAAATAAAGATCACCAAATGTAGTACTTCTAAGCTGAAAAGCATTGCGCTGCCCTCCACTGATGTGGTATAGTACCCTGCCAGGAGGGGGATCTTCAGAGCTTGTGTAACTATTGCCTTGAGATTCCTTTCTTCGCATACTGCCAAGAGACCTAATTTTAGACAGTGTTTTACAAGGGTTAATACAACCTTAGTACAACCATAATGAGGTAACACTTATTTTTCCCTAAACTATCTTGAATTTATATCAGTATTAAGATATCAGCGTGAGGACCCCTCTTGCAATACCCATGAATTTACTTAAAGAACAAATACCAAATTTATCCTAGGGTTAATTAGGATAGCACCAGTGACTATCCAACTCTTTGTTCACAATTATAAAAACCAGAAGTCTAGCCTCTTAATTTCTAACTTTTTTATAAACCTAAAAATATTTTCTCATTCACATGCACCATTTTCAGGCTCGCTCCTTCTGAGCTGCTGCCTGTAAAAAAAGTTTACATCACCGCAGACCTCCTCCTTTCATTCCCCACCCCCCAAAAAAAAAATCATTATGGAAATTCATTTTTGTAGCTTATACTCACACTTTAAATTTCATGTTAACTCAAGGTCCAAGGCCTCTCTTCAAATACCATGCAATAAGCTCTATTTTATATCCTTGGGACCATCTAAAACCAGTCGTATTCTTCCCCATAATTAGGCCTATTGTTTCACATTGCTGATGTCTTCAATACGCAGCCATACAGAATTGGTTTGCACCAGCTGGGTGACACATCTGGAACCTCTCTTTCAGCTAGTTCCATCAAACAGCACAGGATCAGATTTGAAAAGATGCCCATCAGTAGCAAGGAGTAAGTTTTGCCGATCTCTTCGCCATTACTCAGACCCTACCCCTTACTGCCATGACTAAACGAAGGCAGCAGCAGTACTGCAACATGGGAGCAGTTATGACATCACTGCTTCAAGGAGAAAGGGAGTTATGGCCCACTTGCTTACTGAAGCAGGAGTCCTAAAATCTTCATTCTGTATCCCTGGAATGATGCATTTTTAGTCATCAGCTTACACTATATCCTTCCACTGGGTGACCACTAATTGCAACATTTTCGGAAGGTATGTAATGATTTTCAGAATCAGAGTGATTTAGCTAAGAAAACAAATGTTGGCAACATAAGCAACCCATTGCAGCCTTCAATTTGACCTGATCCTGCTACAAACTTCCTACGTAACTATGAGCAGATGACTTAATCCCAAGGCCACAAAAAGCAGGGCCCAGCTATCATTCAAAACAGGACCTAGTCCCAGGAAGCTGACCAGTTGGCCTATCTACCAACCTCACGCGAGCATGGCGAGGACAATTAGAGATTGTCCCAGCAAAAACACCCCGCTATTAAAACAAATTAAGTTAGGACTCAGTAATTGGGAGTGATCTTTTGTTTACTGCCACTAAAAATTCTACTTTGGAAACGTAACAGATGACAACGCCGTAGCAGGTTCATATATCCTTGTCTAAACAAAAAGATACGCTTCTAAACTAACCCCACGCATTAACCACTTTCACAATGACGATCTACTTCTTTCACTGCGCCAGTTCGCTCTCCCGCCCAGCGCAGCCCTTTGCTCACACGCTAGAGCCCCTTCGCTGCCATCGCCCGCAAGCTGCCCCCCCGCCCCCCGCCAGGGCTGCACCCCCCAGAGCATCGCTCGTGCCAGGGAAGCAGCTCAACGAGTTTCCCCATCCACAAGTCAATAGCAAACAGATATTTAAGACAAATAGTCCTGTGGACCAGAAACAGATAGGAGGGATGGAAAATAAAAAGTTAACCCCAAACTTTCTTTCACTCTAAGGTAATAATCACTTAAAGGGTAATCAACCAGAAGAAATCAAGGCTTTTCTCAAGGCAAAATGAGCTCAAAGTAACAAATTTTCTTCTTCGCATTTTATAGTGATTTTTAACTTTGGAAAATAATGAGGTGGGTTTTTTAAAACACTAATACTTATTAAGAGTGACACCAACACCCGTTAGGTTTATACGTTTTCCGTTTCAATGAAAGTCATAGCCATCAGTCCAACCCTGTCTTGAAAATACACACTAAATAAACAAAAATGACAAACTCCTCTTCAGCTGTGTGTAACATGCTCTAATCACTTGCAACACATGGACTGTGCTCTAATCACTTACAACACATAGGACAAAAAGGGGGTGTTTATCACCCCCAGTTTGTGCCGAATAGGCTATTCACGCAGGCACTGATGTTTTCATTAAGGCTGTCACCTTTCCAAGACCACCTTTTTTTTTTTTTCTGCGGTACTTCTATTCCTTCCTCCCACAAAGTTTGAGGGGGACGCAAAGATACACTTAGTTTCCTAAGTGGTTTACAACTATGCTTTTAAAACAGATCCGTTCTCGGGAGGGGGCAACAGAATTGACCCACAGAAGGGCTGTCGTCTTTGAAATTATTCCTAGTGCCGGCAGACATCACCGCACACAGCCAGCTTCGCACATTATGCAAGCAGCCCCTTCAAGTCGTGCTCAGCTGCTGCACGTGGATTTATCACAGTTTTCAGTAAACAGGATGTACACTGAAACACAGTCAAGTATGAGCCGTCTTTTTCAGAAATACAAATAAGACGGAAAGATACCAGTTAATTTGATTGTGCAGACCACATAATGATCAAACCATTACTCACAAGAGAAAGACCAAGAATGACTAATGACATATTATACAACCTGCTAAGTACTATCCCTTTGACTATAAAAATACGGGGCACAGAAGTATTTTTTTTAGATCAGCCACGTTGCAGTCAGTAGGCAGAGTGAGTCATCGTCCAACTCACGAAACTGCCGCTCTTCTAAAGCCTCCTACTTGCTCCCCACACTGTTTAGGGAACTCTGTGCTGGCAGTCAGCAAATGCTACTATTAGTTTATAAATCTTCCGAAGGATCTGTGAAAGCACACAGAGATCCACTGCGCTTGGCTGTATCATAAATAAAAAGGGTTCGGTCCTCCCTTCGGATAATTCAATGAAAACTCACCGCTGAAGATGCCTACCGTCAGCTAACCACAGCCTTCCGCACCTCAGCAGATCTCCACCATCTGCTCTTCCACTGAACAGTTAACCAGTCAAGAGTGAATTAAAGATAACGACCGCACAAGCAAGGACTGAGCCCGAGCGAGAGGTTGAAATGAAAAGTTCCCACTTTAGCTTTACAGCACACATTTTCTGAACCCGATTACCAAACTAAAATCTACCTCTATTTTAAGCCACCACTTTCTGGAATTTGTAGCTGGTTTATAAACACATCATGCTATCACAATGTTATTTTTATATACGCACACACACATATATATATATAAAAAAAGCTTGTTGACAACAGCGCTTTTATCAACGTTTGCACCGGCCATATG